CTTCTTCTCCTTCCTTTCTTTCATCTCCTTTTCATTTCCTTTATCTTCTATCCTCTCTGTTCTTGTTCCTCTCTCTTCTCGCTTCCTCTCCTCTCATTTCTTTATCTCCTCACAATTCCTTCATCTCTTTCTTCCTCCTCTCATTTCCTCCCTCCTGTTCTTGTGAGCTTCCTCACCCCCCCTCCTCTCTCTCTCTTCTTGTTTCCTCTCATCTTCCGTCTTTGTCTCCACCTTTCTTCTCCTCCTCTCCTCCTCAGATGCTGAGGACACAGAAGGTCGAGGTTGCTGAGCCCGATGACGACGCCATCGGTAGCCAACAATTAGGATAAAAACACACATCATCTCATCGGGGGGGGGGGGTTTGTGTGTGACATGTGAGGGTGGGTGTTGATCCATGAGTCACGTTAAGGAAGGGAAGCACAGTGGAGGGAAAGCTCTCTATTGTCCCTGTTTTGTAGCCTTAAGGTCTGCGTGCCGCTCGCTGGCTTCTATCAGCATGTGTGCATCCGTTCAGCGTGAGACTCGCTGTCAGTCTCAAGTGTCACCGCTCCTCTCTGAGTGTGGGTGGGAAGTGACCCGGGGGGGGGACGGAGCGTCTGTCGTTGTCAGCGAGACAGAGCCTCCGGACACAGCGTCTATGTGTGTGTGTGTGTGTGTGTGTGTGCGTGCGTGTGTGTCACAAACATCATCGGCTGCCACAAAACACAAAAGCTACTGCAGCCGCAAACACACCAACAACATTTTAAACCACAGAAGTAAAAGGTTATCAGACGCGAGTCGCAAGTTAAACAGAATACTTCAAAACTGATGCTCAAGAGGAAATATACGGATGGTATGTTTCCTTTCATCTCCAATCCCATCAAAATATTTTAATACTTTTTAGTTTGTATAGTGTGAAAATCTTCACAAAATTGGAAGTTTTGAAGGAAGAAAATAGTGGTAGTCAGCAAATAAATCATAAAATATGCATAAAGAATGTGATTTTACGGTCAGCATACTTAAAATAATGTAAGCAAACACACTAAGTACCGGAGGCTTTTCCAGTTCTTTCCATTCTGAGTTTTGCATCAATGAGAGGCCTTTTCATGCAGCTAGCTGCAGCTAACTTTGTTAGCGTTACATTGCCGGGAGAATTATTGGCATGTTCTTTTCTTTTCTTTTTGGGGTCGGTTTCAAAACTCCACAATGTTCTTCGTCACTGTTTTCCCCACAATATTACATTTTCTGTAAAAATGAGGTTTTCCCTATTCTGAAACGAGAAATGCATCCTGAATGGCTGAAATGAACCATCTGTGCCTGCAGAGAATCCGCTCAGGGTTATCTGCACCGGAAGAAGCCTCCTTTAAGCATATTTGCACCGATGGATATTGAAAGATAAAGACAGCCTTTTCCCTGCAATCATTTTATCTTTAATTATGGGCTTTATTAATGGCACATTTTATATGGAGATTCGATTATATTAACACTACATACGTATTGTATTGTAGGTTTATTTAAAGCAGCCCTGCTTTTAATTTGGCACTTTTCCTAAAATAAAAAAAGGGGACGGAGTGGCTATTTGAATATCTTTGATGTTCCTTTCAGCGTGTCTTCCTCATGTAGATTTACAATCAGCTCTCCGCCTGTCTGTCGGCTTTCTGCAGCAGAGATAGCGCTCTCTTCATTACGCGCTTCATTAATTTAAATGCTAATTGATTCTGCGAGGGCCTTTCAGACCGAGGGCCAAGTCCTGTCTTCCCCCATTGATTGTGTGTGTGTGTGTGTGTGTGTGTGTGTGTGTGTGTGTGTGTGTGTCAGTGTGCGTTTTGTGCACCTGCTGGCTCCTGGAGTGACACGTCCTGACAGAACAGCCTCTCCTGCCTGTCTGTCTGCCTCGAGTGTGGAACTGATATGGTTTGAGTGTTAGTAGCAAGAGAGACAAGTACTACACAGAAAAAAATCCCGCCGACAACCGGCCTCTGTTGGGTTGTTTCGGAGACATAAAAGCACAGAAAACGGGAGTTAAGGCAGTTGGCATATTGTGTGTAACTGGGATGAAGAACAGAGGATGCAGGGGCAGTTAAACGATCCGTGCGCCGTTGCTAGGAGACACCGGGGCTGGATGGTAGAGATAAACGCTGGGATCCACCCCTGGCGGCAGGGAGAGGGCGGGAAGGAGAGAGGGGGAGGCAGAGGGTACGAAAGGGAGAGTCTAGATAAGAGTGTGTGTGTGTGTGGGGCGGGGAAGGGGGGTCATGTGACAGAGGCATCGGCGGTCATGGAAGATAAGCTCTCCCTCCATCTCCATCCCCCGTTTTCCTTCTTGTCTGTTATTCACAGAACTTGGTCACTTATTTGCTTCCTCTGTCTGCCACATTAAACACATTTTTAATCATTTAGTCATTTAAAAAGTTCTGTCCAGACCGGTTTCTCCTTGTCTCATAGTAACATCAAAAAATACATCTACGTCTTCTCCCTCGCTGAAAAACACAGAATAGATGCAAATATTGTTCATTTAAAAAGTTATCTTCTTTTATTCAAGTTCACTATTTGAATCTGCAAACAGCCTTCACATAGCTGTCAGTCTCTATCAACAAATACATTACTTTTGGCCTAATTACTTTTAAGTTGTGCGGTTACGCGCCAAATACACACTGACTGGGAGAATCCTACATGGACGCCACATTTCTGCCAAAAGCCAAACAGATGCTGTCATGTCACGTGAATTCGATTTCTGTATTTCTTTTCTGCGTTCTTCTTGCTCAGTTGGAAATGTTGAGGAGTTATTTGTTCGCGCCAATCAGGCGTCATCTTTGTCCCTAAAAAGTTGAGCCAATGCAGAAGTGCCTAAAACTTGCATTGCGTCGAAAAACCATCAGGGCTGCAAAACAGATTCCTATTGTCTGATTGTATGTTGTTTACCCCACCGCCTCCTTCTTCTATTGGTTTCCTGCTTCACTTCAACACATCATTGGCAGTAAATATTTTAGTCTGAATTTGACAGCAAAACTTTTACTCCTCGGCCTCTATAACCGGTGCCGGGAGGGAAACCATGGCCGCCGCCACGCGATCACCGGAAAAACAAGCTTCAGCCGCCGCCATCTCTCCTCCATCCGGTCGACTCCGGTCAAAACAGACAAAAGCGGGATAGGAGTGCTTCCTCCGTCGAATGCGAGGTGGGCGGGGAGCGCTCGGTGCGCTTCGTGATTAGCCGTGAATGGGACGCAGCGGTCTGATTGGTTCAGAGAGCCGGGAGGTCAGGCGTTCTGTCGGCAGCTCATACAAGGCCGCTGATTGCTTTTCATCCACTGATTACAGTCATTTAGATCTGCAGCAGGCCAAGAAAGGACCTACGTCTGGCAGGCTGCCGCTCCTCTGTCTGAGGGGGGGGGGCTGTATGGGGGGGGTTGCAGGTTGCGTTGCTTGGTGGTTAGTAAATGAGGCTGGAAAAAAACAATCGTTACATTCCCAAGTCTAAAGAAATCCATCGCGATTTCATTTTGACACGGCGCACGGTTCAGAAAAACAATGGAGGGTTTTATCATACATTCGGTTTTCTTCCTGCCGTTTGGACACGCGGGGACCTTGAATAATCAAAGTTGATGAGGCAGTTAGTTAGCGAACGGTTTTTCCATTGGGTGCCGGCGATTAATCAAGAAACTGGGCAGCGCTGGCCTCTTCACACACTGCAAGGTTAATCTCTCTATTGATTACAGCAGCAGAAAAAAGCAAGACTTCACTTCACATTTCCTCCCTTCCCACATGTGTGTGTACAGTGTACAGTTTGCTTCCGTGAGCGATGCGGCCGTGGATCCACAGCTCGGAATGATAAATGATGTTTATGCTGATACCATCTTTCTGCCACACCCATTACCCCATATTGAAAAAATAAATCACCTCCAGCGCAACATTAGATTCACATTTATTGACAAAAACATTTTTCAAAAGTGTTTGTTCATACAGCAAATACTGAGTATTAAAAACAATGACTGGTGTAAAAGGCATAAATATACATTCTGACGCCTGCTGACGTCTAAAATCTTGGCCTTCATAAAAGCTGGGCATTGGTGAAGACAACGACGAGTCCACAACAACACTTTGACCGCGACGTGGGACACATTTCACTGCAAGTGTTCAGCATTTAGTGTCCCCCGGGCGATCCGGTGGACGACGGCGTCTCTGGGAGCCTTTTGTCTCTCACTCGCATATGTACAAACACAATCGACAGAAAAACCTGCGCGGTGTGTGAACCCGGGGCCCCAACACCCCCCATGAACCTCCCCCTCCCCTCCCCCGCGTTTTGGTGACCCCCACATCATGTTGCGTTGACGCCGCGCGCGTCCACGTCCTCGCCTCCTCGGGGGTCGCAGGGCGACTCGCACTTCTCGCCCTCCGGGATTCTGCTTCAGAGGTGACCTAGTTCTCTCCTGATTGTCGGCAGAAGGCAGTTTCATCAGCTGGCTCTGTGCTGAGGCACTGAACTGTGGCTGGAACCCTGGGACAGGCCGATTGGACTTGTGTAATGAAGCTCATCACACACATGCACGCACACAGACACACACACACACACGCACACACACACGCACACCGCGGCCGTCGTCGGATCCAGGGCAGCAGAATTTATAACAGCCATTTATTACCTCCTCCGTTATCGAAAGAAATGTGATTCCTCGGCGCGCTTCGGATGCGGCGCGGCGCCATTATGCTGCGTTATTATGAGGGGGACGGGGACGGAGCGGAGGGTGTTGATGGATGTTGGTGCAGGGCCCGCTGTCATTACTACATCCAATCGAGAGGAGAGAGCGCGAGGCGCTTCCCACAAAATGGCCGCGGAGTAGCGAACATGGCTCCGGCTGCGAGGAGCAAATGACTCGCGCGCGGGAAAAAAAAAAAGTTAAATACATTTGTTCGATGGCCGCGTGTGTTTGGAACACTTTCAGTACGGCAGCCCAATCAAAGACAGTTCAACTGCAGTGATTTCGGCGCCTCTTCACAGCAGAGTGTATGAATGAATGAATGAATGAATATTTACACGTGGCGTTTATCTCACTGTACTGTTCAGGATGTATAAAAAACAACAACAACAACTCAGCATCAGTAAATCTGTACAAGAACACTGCAAACGTCCACACTGAGCGTGGCAGACGTCACACAACATACTGATATTGTCCTAAAGTCTCTCTAGCCTACAGAATACTCACATACAGAAGCAACAGTGGCATTACATTCATATAAATAACAACAATAATTCCAGTTCAACCCGAGACTCGCGCTGTAGGCTTCATTCGTCAGTAAAAAAAAAAAAAAAAAAGAGAACTGAAGACCAGCTTCACCGTGTCCTTAACAGCTCCCTTTAGAGGTGCAGCAGATGTCCTTGAGGTGGTGACACTAAATCCCCTTGGTATCACAAAAAGAGAAGTATCTTTGAGCACTGCTCTGTACAGGTCAGGGGGGTCCTTGGAAGTCCACGGATTTCTTTCTTTTTTTTATAAGGCCCAGGAGACAGCAGGGTTTTACAGATAAGAAGATATCAGTTCCCCTCTTTTATTAGCACAGAGAAAAGTCTTTGTTTTCTTTTGTGATCCAAAGGTCTGAGCTGGAAAACGGTCTGCATTGACATAAAAGCAGAGGTAGCCGTCAGCGCATTCACTGATTGATAAGTCGGTAACTGACGTCCCTCTTGGTCTCCACGTTAGCTGCAGTCACTGGCGTCCAGTTTTTCTGCAAGTTAAATGCGAAACCGCTGCGGTCACTGCGATTCCACGCGGTTGTGGGAGTAAACGAGAGACGTCGCGTGAGACGAATGGAAGGTAAATATCTCCTTATCTTCCACGTAAGTCCCCTAAATGTCTGGAAATTAGGAAAAAGACTAGGATTTGAAAACACGTTTTCTGGCCGACCTGAAGATGTGGGGGTGGGGGGGGGACAGGTTCCCTACTCTCTATGGCCAGAGGTGCTCTGCATCACCATCTGCTCGCTCATGGCCGGAGATGACTGCGTGAGACGAGAGAAAAGACGAGCCAAACCCCCCCCAGTCTCTGCCTCCTCCTCCTCCTCCGTCAGAAGCAAAGACTCGCGCCGCTCGCAAGCTCTCGGCGTCGCAGCCGCCCGGTGACGCGGGCGAGGAACGACGGAGGGGGGGGGGGATGCGAAGGTAGGAAAAGAAGAGCAGAAGTGGAGGTATGAAAAATAAGACATGGGGGGAAAGAGACGGAGGGCAAAGTGTGTCCATCTGATCATAGACAGTTCTTAGGCTCTGCTCCTGGCAGATTCTCCTTCTATCTGCGTTTGCTTTCTCCATCTGACCATCTGTCTCCTTCTCCCTTGCTGCTCCGAGGATGAAAAGGACAAGATGAGAAGGCTGCGTGGATTTGATGTTTTTTTTGCTTTTTTTTAGGCTCTGCCTTTGTCCTTCTTCAGCAACCTGTTCCCCGATCTGTTCGCCCGTCCTTCACAGCTGTCTGCTGGCGTTGGGTTTCATCTTGATGACCCACTCTCCTCCAGAGTTGCTGTTATTCAAATCCAGAAGGTGTGTGTCGGGATCCAGGCAGTGCTCACCTGCACAAAACACACACCGAAATGAGCAAAAGCCACTGCTGTTGGAGTTTTAAAATGCAGGGTAGATTTTGCATTGTAATTACGGATGGGAATAATGATCACTTCTGTTATTGAATCATCATCAATTAAAGTCATAACAATGTCCATTCCAGTTCCTAGAACTCAAATGGACCCAATTATTTCTTGAAAAATGACATAAGATTGAAGATTTGTGTTTGTATCACACAGCTTAACAATCTCTGGTACCAGTTTTAGAAAAGATGAAGCGACTGAACTGAGGGTCGTTTCGTCTCAGCTTGCGCGTAATTATAAGCATTTGTCTGCTCCGATAACTGCAGATGCACCGCTCAAACCTCTTTTGGTGTTTGCACAGTTCATTACCTACGACCTCGCTTCCCTCTTCAGCTCAATGAACAGAAATTAACATGCAAAACACTTCCAACTCACCGATGTTCCCTCCCACCTCGTACAGGGCGCAGTCAGCGTTCGCCACGGAACCGTTTCTGTTGAGAGACAACAGCTATGTGGCATCTGGTTTTTCATAAAGGATCAATTGTAAATATGTCTCTAAGAAAATAATAATTTGGAAAGTGACAGAAGTGACACCATAACTACTCTGAGAGTAAACATTGAAGTCAAGATGTCTCTGTCATGTAACGCCCGGGCAGAACCGTACCTTCGCATTTTGCCCTTTCCATTGTCTGGACTGCGAAGGGACTGACGCTGAAACTGTGCCAGCAGGTCCGAGGCTCGGGAGTTGACGTTGAGCTGGAACTCCATGGTGCTGCTCACCAGGTCTCCGACCTGGATCTTCACCGTGCGGCATGGCTGCAACGCAACACATTTATGTGCTCTATTATGCAGGTTTTGCCGGGTATGATGCTCCATGTGAGGAGCTTTTCAACACGAGGATAGAGACCTTACTTTAATTGCATTGGCTGTTGCCAGGGTTGTAAACCAGCTCACCTCTGAGGCATTTTTATCCGTTTTCTCGCGGCTGTCCGTGTGAATCTTCCTCAGCAGGTTCTTGATGCGGCGATCGTAGAACTGGTACCGCCGGTGACTGTTCTCATTCAGCTTACGCACCTGGCTCATGAGGAAATTGGGGATCTGAAGAGAAAGCGGAGAAAGAAATATGTAAAACCCCAAAATAAAATACAAAATAAAACCACATGTAGAAAACTAGCAATAGCCTCTAAATAATGACAACAAACGATGGTCTCCTCGTGAGGTCGAGTAGGTGGGCCGTCTTACCGTCCAGAGCAGGTCCTGGTAGCGGATGAGGAGCCTCATGACATCGGCGGCCTTCTCCGCATGTCCTTTCTCGGCCCCCTCGGCCAGTCTGCTGGGGACGGCCTTATGGAGGAACAGGTTGGGAGCCATGATGGTGGCAACAGCCCACAGGTTCATCCTGTTCGTCTTCTCACTAGAAACCACCTTACTGAGGAACTCGAGGAGCGCCTGAAGAACACACAGATGGAGAAATGCATCCGTGTGAAATCAAAGGTGATCTTCATCATAATGTAGGTCATGTGGGGGATGAGCACTCCGGTTTGTACGGAGTTGAAAGACTGACTTTCAACTGAACAACTTGTAAATGTTGAGAGGCCACTTGCGCACACAGATGCACAAAATGGAGCAAAGTGCATTATCACACTGACTGAATCATCTGTAACACCTCGACTGAGAAGCACGCTAATGCACGGTGAGTTTCCGCTGCCTCCACCAAAGTCAAAGTAATTAGTTCAGGTGGGTTTTATGCTCCAGAATGCTAAAAGCGGAGCGGACTGCACCGGTGTATCGGTGAAAGTGAGTCACGGTTAATGCAAGCTGTTACATAACAGAGCAGACTGTTTAAAAGGTGGATCCAAAAACCTCAAGTAAGAGCATGTAGTGTGTGAAGAAGTTTCTTTGTGACAAATTGGATGTTTAAATGCAAAACTATGATATACTGTATTACAATATTAGTTTATTTGAAATACTTTTTTTATCAGTGAGTACCTTTAGTGTGTTTCTGTTGGGCTCAGGCAGCAGCAGGATGAGCAGGTTCAACATGTGCAGTTTCTGCCTCAACTCTGTGATGTCTGAAAGGCGAGGAAGCAAAAGTAAGACAGGCCCAACACACACACACACACACACACACACACACACACACACACATGATCTTCATTTCCTCTCTGGCCGAGAGCGATGGGATACTTAAAGATTAATGACATTGTGACAGGTGGCCATTAGGTTTGTTAGCTTATGTCTCTGTGGTCACGCGTCGTTCATCACTTTGTACCGGTTCTCTTTGCAAACTAAACATCAGTGAGTCATCAATCAGAGCGTATTAATAACATCAGTTCACTCTTTTATTAAGGTGAAACTAGTGTGAAAAAAGCAGATATTTTACATCTGCTCTCAAAAGGCTATCAACTTGTTCATCTCAATGCTGCGATCTCCACTGGATCAGACCAGGTAAGCGTCACGGGGAAGAGACTCAGGTAATTATGATGTGAACCCTGCTGAGCTGTCTGGAGAAACCCATCTAGCATGTAATAGAAGAATTACTCATTTATATATGCAACTTGCGAGATAAGAAAACACATGAAATCCCGGCATGCAGCATATTCACAGCTGTTGTTCATGATGTGATGCTATAGTGGAGCGGTGCACCCCGCGGTTTCGCACTGAAAACGAACGATTTAAAGAGGTTTAGAATGTTTGCACACTGACCTCTGACGGCGCTGAAGGTGTTGAGGTACTCGGCGGTGAGCAGAGGAGCGGGGAGTTCCCTGATGAACTTCTTAAGCAGCGCGGCAGCGTCGTTCGGACTCACCTCGTCCCAGCTGACCGGCCTGGAGTAGAAGTTGGCCTCTAAGTTCTGCTGCAGAAGCTGCAGGTAGAAAACAATGACAACAACAGATACACCGCCAGTGTTAAACCAAAATCCCAGGTATGCAAATTATGTGAATTATGTTTCAACTCTATGTAAGTAAGTTATATTATCTTCACTTCCTACATTGTGTGTATCTACATTCTCATTGTACAGCATGCTGCTAATACAGGCCACAGGTTTCATATTGTTTCAGAGATTCATCCATTTGGGAAAAATAAAAACTATCATAGTGGTATAATCTTTTTTTAAAGATGAAAAAGTATTAAGTTGATGTCATTCTCTTTAATTGGTCGTTGTTGCCAAATCCATCATCCAGCATTAAGGTACTTGATTGTTTCATTGCAGTAATTTGTCCTGGAACTAAATGGCGCCCTCTTCTGTCCGCTTTAGTTTCATCCATTCACCATCTACTGTGCGGAACTAAATACGCCGTCAGAAGCTTGACCTGGTCGCACAAACTGAAAATAAATAATAATAATAATTTTTCTCACTGGACTTTTCTAAATGTCAAATATACTTAAACTTGATTTTCTTCAATGCTGTTCAGGCACTTCTGACATTTAACAGCGTCAATATCGGCTGCCCTTGAGGTCACGAGACTTTGTTTTTTTATGCTTCAAACATACAATTACAAACGTGGTCATTTGGCGCAGCGTGAAGGGTTGTACGAAATAAAATAAATAATGTGTATTGAAATATTGTACCTTTATTCGTGACTGAGATCCTGGAACCCGCAGGATGCCCTCTGAATCAACACCTTTCTTTTCCAAAAATGACAACAACTGCAAAGAGAGAGGGAGGAGACAGAGACACATTAGCAGAGACTCCGGCTTCAGCAGATAAGCATCTCTTGCCCACCTCTGCTGGTCGTTCTCAGTAACTGCTGCCACATACAGGGTGTGGTCAAACCTTTTAACATTCAGAGGACACAGCGGTGGTTTCATGTGCCTCAATCTGACGACATGTTTTGCAGGTTCCAGCAATAGCAAAAATGTGCAGAAGACGTGCTGTGCTGAATGTTACAGGCAGGTTACATAAACCTGCGGATAATATCTAAGACTTCTACGTTCAGGTGGAAAGCATGTGGAACTACTTTCATGAAAGGTGGCCTTGCCAGCTGTTTCGGGTTCTTACCTCCTGCATGAAGAGAGGAGTGGCGGTGTTGGGTTTGAGTTTCTGATCGTTCTCCAGCAGCGTGGCCAGCGGCACACCGTACAGCGGGCTCTCTGCGAAAGACACACCGTGTCCTTCAGTCGTCTCACATTGACATTCGGCCCCAGTTGCATACACTGCCAACGGCACACAGCCCATTGAATTCTGTGTGATTAATGTTACTGAAGAATGTCACCATTTTTTAATTCCAGTGCTGTTATAGTATATGCAGAAACAGGTACTTATAATATTCATTAAAAGGGGGCAGAACATATTTAGGTTTGATTCCAGTCTGTAAGAAAAAAGGAGGGCGTCGAAAAAGCCTTCTTTCATTGTGTGTATGTGTGTGTTTTTGAAGTGCTCTCTTCGTGTGTGTGTGTGTGTGTGTGTGTCTCTGCTGACATACCTGGGATTTTCCTTTTGACGGTTTTGTGCCTTTTGACCTCCAGCTCTAAGAGGTCGCACAGCGCCGTCATGTCGATGAGAGCCAACTGACGCACCTTCTTCATGTCGGCCTGAGAGAGGTCCTGAACGCGAGTCACTCCGAGACGGCACTTGGGGCAGATCACACGCTGAGGAGACGAGGGCAGTGAAGAGTGAGGAGAAAGGGGTTGGAGTGGAGGGATTGGGTGTGTGTGAGAGGTAAAGGAAAAAAGAAAAAGAGAAAAAAGCACAGAGATAAACCTTTAACAAAGTGCTCATTGTAACAGGACGTGCATCAGCCATTCCTTTGATTAATGTGAGCAGTGTGGCAACCGTATCCATGCACGTTTAAAAACACAAACTCCTGCCCTTTGCTAAGGACACTTAAAAAAAAAGAATATATCGGCTGGACTCAGTGACACAACAACTATTCTCTCGTTGGGGGCTAATTCCATCATTCCTGCATTTTGCTCAACCCTGCTATCTAACCGGCTGCAGGGGACGATTAGAACGGGATAACAATAACAGTCTGTGCGTGCGTCTAAAAGTCCAAAAGATATTCCGTCCAGGGAGACAGGGAGAACTTATTCATCACGTATACCTGGCCAAACGCCTGATTATCACCCGTGTTTTAAATAGATGTTCTTTCATTCCGAAAAAAAACGATTTTGAAACCCTTCCCTGAAGGAGAGCTGGAACTACAGTCACGCGGAGGAGAGGTGGAAGAGTTTCTGTGCTTACAGGCAGGGTGCCGTCCTCTTTTCTGCGCTGGCTGGTGTACTGGGGAAGTTTGGCCTGTTTTAGGAAGATGACGGCCTGTTCGCAGTAAGCCACATCGGTGATGAAGAACTCCTCCTTTGGGGCGCCTCGGTGAGGCTCCGGCGTTGCAGCTGAGTGGGAAAAGCATCCGTTCAACAGACGTTCAAACTCCGGCCTATTTGTTCACTTAAGGAAGTCGAGTGTGAGGGAAATCTTGTACAATTTTCACGAGGGAACAAAAGGAAGACAGACTTTGGGGGACAAAATGCCATAAATATCAGGAAATGTACCCACATGAATCTTCCATCTCAAAATATTCCAGAACAAAATATTATTCTTAACGTTGAAATTTGGCCGGTGAACTCGACATTATAAGGACAGGCGCTTTCTCCAGCAGATGAACGTGGACATGAAAAGCCATCCGGGGGTCAATATGAATATATATTGTATGATATAAAGATATATGACAGGGCTGCGGCCTGATCCAGACAGACTCACATGACTGATTCTCCACGTAGGTGTTTGACATGTAATTGAACCTATAAGCGGCTAATCGGTTGTTTTTTAATCGGCTGACTGTTAACAGTGCTTCTGTGTGTAGCTCTTACCTGAATGGGGCGTTTTGGCCATTGATGCCATGCTGGTTTGGGCAGTGTCTTCGCTGTGCTGGGGCTCGGGACAAAGAGTCTGGTGAGGGAGAGAATTTATTGACAATGTCACATCACATTTTAACGTGCTCTGTCCTCGGACCACGGATTCAACAAGGAAAGAAAAAAAACTACTTTTTCTCTACGAACAACTTGAAATATCAGTCCTTTAATACTTTGCCCACCACTGGGAATAGTAGTTGTGTTGAATAGCGTGTCCACTGAGCAGATGGAGATGGATATGAATGGTGTTTCCTTTGATAGAGGACTGATAAAGATCAGAGGAGCAGTGCTCGCAGGGCTCAAGCAGACAGGGGGGGACAAAGCATGGCCTTTACATGTGATTTGCCTTCATTGTCCCAGGTCAGACCCTCAGCACAGAACAAGACAACACACAGGAACAATGGAAAGGCCCTCCCTGAATCCTGACAGACACCAGGGGAATGGATCTGGAATGCCTTCACGCAAGATTTGTCAGCATATCATTGAGCCCGAGAGCGGCCTCTGCATGTCAGATGTAAACAAAGGACATACGAGTTGCTACAAGTCCCTCTCAAATGTTGCACTTCAGCTTTCTATTGCTTTTCCTTCCCTGCGGAGGTGTCAGATGTGGCGGGGAGCTACAGAAACCGAGGCGCTTCAAAAGTCCTGACCTGAGTAATGGGGTTGAAGATATCGCGGACGTCTCGCGGGGCCGGTTTGTTCCTCTTACGGAGGGACAGCGTGTAGGAATCCAGTCGACGCTGGACGGCCTCGGCCTGGGTCCGGGTCAGGGTGGACAGCAGCACCGCTTTGTCCACATCCTCGCTGTCCTCGCTGATGAGGGTGGACAAGCCGGCGTCGGCCAACCACTGCTCCTCCTGTTCGCCTTCTGAGACACAAAATGATGGAAGGAAGTCAACGCAAACACAAACGATGTATTCAACACAGCGGCCAGGCGGCATGAATTTGTTTGATTTATGTGTGTACATCGACATCAGTATCAACATCATGGTATTAGGTAAACAGAGCATTAACTTTCTTCAGCGTTATGTGCCTCGTCCACGTTATCTCTAACCGGGTTGTGCGTGAGTAAGCTACGTAACATTTACACCCGGCAGCTAATACGAGTAAATGTCTAACAACTAATCTCTCTTTAGTGATTTGTAAATCTCTGCGTTGTAATCACCTGTCCTGTAAGTGTAACCCGGTTCTGAGTTGGGGAGATGTTTAAGATCCATAAAGAAGAACATGAAGATAAGTTCGCCCTCTCAAAAGGATGAAGACGCACTTACACACCAAAGTCCGGGACTCAGAGGGGTTTTCTCTTTTGTTACAAGTTCATTGAAGACAGGGCTCCATTAAAGGGGATAATCAACACAACCAGAAATACAGAACACAATAAAAGGGCCGTCCCATTAATAATGGCTTACACCCCCTGGCACAAAGTGTTTGACAGCGTTGTCACGGTGACTAGCGCTTCTTTGCTGCATGATTGACACCTGATCTGTTGCCATGGCGAAGGCATCACTTCATGAACACTCACACCTCCCCAACCCCCACCTCTCCCCCCCAGTATCTACCTTCGGATTGTCTGGACTCTCTCTTGGTGCAGTCGAGGTCCGCGTAGCCACTCCCCTGCCGAATGGTCTCCACCTCGCTCCAGAAGGAATCCACGCACTGCTGGTCGGGGCGCTGCTCCTGGTCCTGGGAGGAGGCTGCGTGCGCGTCGTGCTCAGCTGCTGCCTGGTCCCGCGGGCTGGCCCAGGGCTCCACGCTCATCTCGGTGGGGCTGGGGTTCCTGGTGCACACATACACGCACGTAAAGAAATTGCACGCGTGCATGCACACGGGCTAGCAGGAAAACACAAAGACACCTACGTACGCACGCACGCACGCGCACACAGACACGGGAGGAGGAAAGAAAGAAAGAAAGAAAGAAAGTTGAAAACCGATGCCACAAGGGGTGAAGGAAGAAGGAGCCCAGAGAGATGGAAGAGACAAAGGGAGCGGGGCCGGAGGGAGGGCCGAAGTGAGGAGAGAGACGGCGAGAGCGCACAAGAAAGTGGGGGGTTCTCTATTGTCCCTGCAAAATGGGTCCCGGGAGGCGCAGTCCCCTGCAGATCCACCAGGGGTCACTGCATCATTGTGCGATCCGTTGGCGGGTCACACCCCTTCAGAGCAGTGGTCCCAAACTTTTTTTCCCACACGGACCGTTTTAATGTCAGACAATATTTCGTTGCGGGCGGAACGACCGCCAGGGGGGGGGGGGGGGGGTAGTAGTCGCGCGCTCTGTGTTCGCGGTAAAAAGACAAGAAAAACGCCTGGTGACGCGTGGGGAATGTGTCAGAGGCACGAGCGCACATAATTAGGAGAAAATCCGGTCAATTTTCAAAATAAAACATTTTTCAGAAAAAAAATATATGTAAGCTTTCTGCGGCCCGGTTCCAAACGGCCCACGGACCGGTACCGGTCCGCGGCCCGGTGGTTGGGGACCACTGCTTCAGAGGACACATGCGTCCAACCCACCAGCAACGGAAGAGTATGAGACAAAATACAAGACACAATGGAAAGAAAACCAGAAAGAAACCACTGCAGCATATGTTTCTTGTGAGGGACTTAAGAGACGGTATAGGATGGTTAGGAAGAACTCCGCTTGCACCATTGGGGCCTGTGACAGTGATCTCAGTCACAGGAAGTGGTGAGCCGAGTCATCGGCGTGCGGTTCTGTCACATTCCTCTGGTCGGCAAATCTCAAGTAACATACCGAACCGCATGCTTTCAGTTCTGAGGAATTTCAGATGGTCGTTTATAGTACCATGACGCAAAGAAAGACAATGAAGTCATAGTTGTCCGAGGTCTCAGAGCCCATAAATACCTGTCATACTCTTGACTTGTGTTGCCGCGACCAACAACATGTCAGTTGAAACCAAATCACTTCTCTTCCAGTTCAATTCTTTTAGTGTGTAAAACCAGTTTCAAGGCATCTCTGTGTAGAAAAGGGATGTGTGTCTGTGTCTCTGTGTGTGTGTGTGTGTGTCTGTGTCTCTGTGTGTGTGTGTGAGGGTTCAAGAGTTGCATGTTTAATGGATACTTACTACCAAAATAAAAGACAAATAGAAAGCAGTATGGTCGATAAGGGGCAGACTGCAGAAGAATACAAAGGAAAGAAGTTGAGGAAAGCCAATTCTTCCAACCCAGAAGCTGAAACCAGCAGACGTCACGAATTACCACAACAATTACTCAGAAACAACACTGGTGTTAATACATTTTCACTGAATAGACAAATTGTTTCCACTTCTAATGCTGTGCTTAGTTACAGTCAGAGGTATTGACATTCATTACTCCAGTAGAAGTACAGATACTGAGGTTTAAGAAGACTTCTGAGTTGAAGTATCAACTCAAGCTTTTTACTTTAAGTACGAATATAAAAGTACTGGTTTCAAAACTACTTTCCCATTGATTAGGTAGACTGCAGTGTCTCCCCAAGGGTTACATCTTCATCTTCATGTTACAATGATGGGAAACACTAAACTGGCTGTGGTCGGTTATCAAAACATGGCTTTATGAGCAAATACAGAATCCCTTTGTGTTCATTTCTAAAGCCTCGCATTAAGACACACGTCACTTTATTTAAGACGCTGCGCTACTTGCAAGTCGCCGTGTTGTGCCACATTCTCAATAAAGTTAGGAAAATACCTTTACGGCAAACCCATGGTCATGAAAGTACTCATTTAACGTTACGTGGAATCTGCATGTCGGTAAATACCCAACTGAGATCGACTTGTGCCGTTCTGACAAAGGAAGCTGCCACCGACCACATTTCTCACCCTGATCTGATTTCGGAGAAAACCAATAGGGTGTCTGGATGGTAAATGTTTATACTTCATCAGCCACAATTAAATTCAGTCTATCCGGATGGAGCGATTTATCTGGATAGGTTTTGTTTTTGTGTGTGTTTTTGAACGATGACAAGACGGAATGAAATGGGAGTAACGAGGCTATTTTTAAAATGTAAGTAGTAGAAAGTACAGATATTTCCGTGAAGATGTAAGGAGTAGAAGTAAAAAGTTTAGTGTAGGAACACCAAATGTCTACTTAAGTAAGGTAACAAAGTATTTGTACTTTGTTACTTGACACCTCTGGTTACAGTAAGATTGCAACAACATTATTTATACAACATCATTCATACAATTGTATGAATAAATAGGATGTTATGGCATGAATGTCAATTCTTATAAATAAGTTATTTGGAATTCTGATTTGAACTCTTAAATGAATAGTACATGTGGTATTGATGCCATGTAGTCACAATAAAGACTATTATTTTCAGGAAGCGTCTAGCTCACTACATCCCACACGCGCAGCTGTCCAAAGCCAAAACACGTGCTCACAACCTGCCGCTCTTACGGATAAAACACAGCAAGCCAGAGAGAGCAGAGGTCAGCAGACAGCTGACTCACAGCAGCACTCTGGATCCACTTCCACCGCAGGGAATGCAACAAAAACTCACAAAAAGTCACGACAAATCTAAACAAGTTGACTCGACAGCACGAACTACAGGCACCGCGTCCCCTGTGGCTCTGATGTTCACTGGGGGTTTCGGGGTATTTGTGGCATCTCCACAACGTGTCCGTCAAGCACGGACAACGTTCGAACTTGTGCGAATTCGATCCCTCGGACCCCAGACCCCCCTCCCCCCTCCCACCCCTCCCCACCCCTCCGGCTCTGGCCCCCTCTCGTCTCACATACCTGACTGTCTCCTTCTGGGACGATGGCTTCGCGCGCTTGTGCCTGGCCGAGATCGGGCGAAGCCTGAAACGGGACAACCTGGCGCGTGGCGACTGCATGGTGAATCCGAGCCTGAGCACCAGCACCTCCTCTCTGCCTTTCATATCCACAGTGCTAAAGGAATCCCGGGATTACAGTCCGGCACAAAGGACCCCGCTAGCTTTCGTCCAGTAGCGTTGAGTGTGGCGTAGTTCTGTCCGCGGCTTTAGGAAGCGGCGTTGCTCACTGAGGCTTTGGCGCTGAGTGGAGCTGGAGCTGGAATGCAGCAGGGAGTGACGAAGTACATTTATCACGTCATTCTCACCTGTCCCTCCCCTGCCATCACCAGGCTATACGCCCTGCTTGATGGCCCAAAGACCAACAAATCTGGTTCAAACAAGAATGTTTGACACTTGAATGATTAATTGTACATCTGACGGTACTCACATGTATACCTCCTTATTGACCTTATAGTGAAAGCTACTCAATTTAACCAGAAGCAATTGATCAAAGGTCCTTTGTTAGGAAAGTGAGGCCAGTTTTCACCTCTTTTCTTGCTGTTACTGTAGAAACTAACTCAATCAAATCCAAACTCTGTGCTTGAGGGTCCGTTGCAAGCAGGTAAGCTCAAATCAAACAGCACATTCTTGTGTTTTGACAGCTCGCGACGTGGTACGCGGAATCCAATAATTAATACGAAAGCTGCTCATTGCAACAGCTTTTCTCTTTGTTCAGCCTCATACCTGAGGCTCTGGACCGAACAGTTTACATAAACTCAGGTGGCAGAGAGCGAGCCGGAAGCTCCTCAAGTAAAACAGGTCTGTCAACTTAGTATGTGAGCAGCACTGTAACCCCTCAAATCCTTCCCCCAAATCACTGACACGTAAATGAGAAAACCGGTTGCTACCCAGACCTCCAAAGTTTTCCAAACGACTCGGTTTCTATAGCTTTAAAGAAAAAAAACTCATCAGTTGAATTCATTTTTGCCATTATAGAGATAAAAAAAAGTCTTGAGCCAGACTCATAACTAAAATGACCTCAAATGAAGTATGCCAACCGCCTGGGGAATTAACTGAGAGGACAGACCATCAGGAGGAGAAGCAAGCCTGCTGATAATGTTCTTCACCACCGAAACAATTTATAAAGCTCAGCCGCAAAACACATGCTTCTTTGTAAATAGCCCCTGAAATAGCTCCTGAAAATGTCAGGGTGTTGGGATTGTTTTTCTTTGTTGAATGGGCCCTAAACCAGCACAAGGAATCAACAGGAAGTCATCCACTCTGAGAGAAGAATAAGATGTCAAACTGCCGCGTTGCGTTCAAACTCAAACTAGTTTAGTAGTGACCCTGTCCGACCAGCTGTGGTCAAGAAATGCGGAAAATGTAAAAACAGTTGTGTTGAAACCAACACTGTGTTTAATCCTCGTGGCTGAATTACATGGCAAGCCTCTTAGCTGGCAGAGAATGCAACAGTTTGCCCACACAGCCTTGAGAATGTGATTCTGCCGTAGCGTACAGGATCTGTCCACTGGTGCAGAAAATCATAAACACATTCACAGATCTACAACAGTCTACAACATCCACAGAACAACAGGAAAACCAAAGCACCCAAACACGCATTCCAAAGAGGACAATCAGAACTTTTGAACTAAGAATAAGTAACAAGAGAGCCCCCCGCCCTGTTTAACAGTAGAGGAGTAACCATAAGACCAGCTTCATGTCCCAGCACCCCCTGAGTCCACGGCGGGCAGCAGAGGCCCGGTCCTACCTGGCCTTGGCCCACGCGGTGGCTCTGCCCGAGAGCAGCAGCAGGGCTGCGGAGCCGCTTTTCCCCCACGGCATCCCGCTGTGGTGCACCACCTGCCCCCCCCACCCTCTCTCCCACCCCGTGGCTGTAGGAAGCAGCAGCTGCCTGCCCTCTGGCAAGCTGTTTCCTTGCAATCTCCTCGGTGCACAAACACATTAGAACAAGGACGGTCTCACTAGTGCTGGTTGGCGCGTCACTGCTTCGCATCCTGGGGCAGGAAAGGAGGTCTGCGCGGGGCGCAAAGGGGGAGTAGGAGTGGGGGCGGAGAGGGGTGGTGGGTGAGTGGTTGAATAGCTGACTGGGGCTGGGACACCGGCCGACGGGGAAGACCCTGTCTGAATGGCTGAAGGCTGAACGGATCGGGCAGGAGGGCACAACAGCTGCCTGGCGGGCAGGACGGCTCGCATACCGCTCGGGGAGAGTTATGCTCGGCATGAGGGGAGCGGGAATTCCTTGTGTCAATGTCAACCATCTCACTTGGCGTTTTACTGGACTTGGGAAACCTCAAACACAGCGATCTGCTTGACCTCTGGCTTTCTATCTTTAAGGTTGTCATGAGACGCCAACACGCTTATTTACAGTAGAACGTAATACCAAAGAACAGCAGGACGGTGCCTGTTTGTTCACGTGTTCTGAGGCGGACACGGAATTAACCGCGGCTCTTGAACTTTGGATCAGGCTTGAATGAGGAAGGAACACAGTGTTAAAGAAGGGCGGGCACAGCGACACACCGTACAACCTGTATCCTCTGTTACATATTTTTGCCAGAACAGTATTTGACACAGTTTTCAGCCAATTAGTAACACGTTGAGGTTCAGTCATTACTAATGGAATCTATTTTTGGAATTTTATTTGTTTACTTATTTTTTAGTAACATATATATTCTCAATATTATGTCCTACGGCCAAAGAAATCAGTCTGCCGTCTTTTCTTGGATGGACACAATGAATGTTTGAGTAAAAATGACTTGGATTTGCCATTTCAGGGGAGAGTCCTTGGACCTGTACACCTCCAGTGTCAGGTGAGATCACTTTCTTTCCTTTCTCTTGAATCATTTGTGACGGTTGTTCCTAGTAAGTCAAGCCCTTTTTCACCATCACAGTACTCCTTAGCTGACAGGAAAAGGAAAAGTGGGGAGCGTGACGGCGCGTCGCCTTCTGACCCTACAGATGGCTTGTGACAGCCAGCTCAGCCTCTTGTCCTGCTGATCCACCGCTTGGCAAGTAGGGAAAAGAGATGGGAGGGGAGTGAAAGTGAAGCAGAGTAGCACGCAGGAGGGAGAATAATGACAAAATGAGAAAAAAGGGCAAATGCTGATGGAGTAAGATTGTACAGAAGTGGCGGTTACAGAGGAGGTTGGAAGATGTTGAAGCGCGATGGAACAACATATAACATCAGTACTGCTAGACTGATGCTAAATGCTTAATGTGTGAGGAGAAGAGAGAAATGTGTCCCCTGACTCACCGGCACGTCCAGATGGTTTGAATAACAAGCAAATGGTGACAGAGCCAGATGCAGCCGGTCACTCAGAACTCACACATTGAAATCAAGGCTGACAGCGGGCTGTATATGCTCACGAGTGCAGACACAGCAACCAAAGAGGCAAAGGAACTGCGGTAAACTCATTAGTCAAATAAAGGAGTTTATTTAATGCAACTGATGCAAGTTTGTATTCAATCCAATGACCTCCACACTGTTCCACACCTACAAACGGAAATATAGAGAAAATGTTTGAGGGAAAATATGTGGTCCCAGGAACAACTTGTGCATGCAGCGCACCGACAGGTGAATGTGTGTCACCGGCACCTCTCATCATCTTTTACCGCTGCAAGGCTTGGCTCACAATGTAGCTGTGCTTGTTCTGAGAGCATTTGCATCATTTAAAATATGTCCCTGTGCTACTTCCCTGTGTGCAAAAGGTTTCAGACAACATCCCAGAACTGCACATTACCCTCATTCTGCCAATAAATATGTCAAAGATTGTTGTATGTTTCATGGATACACCATTACAAAAGGGGCTCATTGCGGACAGAGTTGTGTGAGAATAAAAAATTAGAACATTAAAAATACCTTAAACTGTCAACTGAAAATAAGCACAGATTCAGCTTCTATATTGACGACTTGGTTAAGACAGAAGTTCTGGTCCGGAAGAATTACAGGCTTGGTGAATATATAAAGATAATGACCATTGTTTGTCTTATGGCAGCTTCCCACATGCTCTAAAAGGAAGATGTGATAGATATGACTTTTAACTCCTTGATTAGGTTGTGCATCACTGTCACACCTTACTTGACATCACGATCGGTTTCCTTATAATCATAAAGTAGGCAGAGAGGCTAAAAATAGACTTCTGACAAAAATGTGTTGTATTAGGGTTTGGGTGGCACGTCGTTTTCCAACTCACCCAAATCAACCCTATTAGCTTAGTGTTCTCTTTGTTGTACGTTACTGAGAGTGAGCTGGAAGAAATCTGACGTCAACAACACTACAATAATTCCTTAACACATGAAGATCCTTCCTCCTTAAATTACGCCCGTCTGCGGCGGGATGAAATGTTTCAATCTCATGAATTGACCACACTAAACAGCAGCTGTTAGTCGAGCACATCATATGAATAATGACGCAACATGTAAGCATTATCTTCAGGATGACTGCAGCAATATAATAAAGGGCGGATGACAGCCATTAGGAGGTAATTTGTTACACTGGCAAACGGTTCTTTGAGAGGCGAAGAGATGCCCAAATAAATCAGAACGTTGCTTACAGGACGGCGAGTAGCAAAAAGCGTGATATTTTTGGGGGGTCACAATTGTTTGATTACAAAAAAGGAGGCGGGAGAATGACACGCCCTTGGCAACAAGTCCCTAGCAACCGGAAACGCTTCTCGACCGGAGGACAGAGACACAAAGCCGAACATAATAAAACGGCACAAGTCAATTATTCTACCTTTGCTTTTTAAAATACACGTAACCTCCGCTTTAAGACGGCATCAGTGTTTTTCACCGGGAGGGGTACGGTTTGCTAACGGCCGGGTGAGGGGTTAGCCGTAAGCTAACGGGAAACAAAGAGGTCCACTGAAGGTTAACGGAACCCGTTAACGTTACCTGGGAGAACACCGTCCAAATCCCCGGTGTGTGCGGGCTCGACCGAGCGGTGAAAGAGGAGGTTTCCATGCAGCTCAACGGAGATGAGTCTCGTTGCGGGCGGTGGGGCGGGGGGGGAGAAGGGAAGCTCGTCCTGCCCTCACGGATGGGATGAGAGAGGCTGCTCTCCTACGCTAACCGTCCACGGCATCCATCGCACCTTGCGGATGACGTCACCGCGCCGGGCCTCATCAATAATAAAAACAACAACAAAAGTGGCATATGAAATTTTTCCTGTTTCCTTTTTTTTATCCCTCAAAAAGATGCCATTTTAATTGCACACAGGAGATAATATCCGAAAGTAAATCCATCTGCATGCACATCTGGGAACTCTTGTCATTCGTGAAATTAAAAACTAATTGTAAAAATACACGTTTGTTTATTTCAGAGAAAAAAGTGTATGAAAATAGACCAGAGCAGACATAACACGCTAACAGTAAGCATCAGGCAGAACAAACTCTGAAGCACATAACATGTAGAGAAACTGAACCAGACAAATGCACGTAAAGGTGAAACAAGCAGGACCGACAGAACATCAATGGTTGCACACCTGCTTGGCAACCAGCCAAGGAAACTGAAGGAAATTCTTGAAGGTTTTTTATGTGTTCCGTGCGCGTAGGTGTGGTGGCAGAGCATTCCACCTACTGCCTGTGTGTTGTTGTGCCTGCCATAATTTTAAACTGTGTTCCTTCCTCATTCAGGTCTAATCCAAAGTTCAAGAGCACAGTTAATTCCATGTTGGCCTTGGAATACATCCATGAACAGTGTGCTGCCTTGACAGAGAATGTGCAGTAGATCAGCTAAATGAGTTTGACCTGTGTGAAATGACACAATTACCTTATGGAGCGGCATGTGCCGCTTTGATTACTATTTAATAGTGGAGGCAGGGCCACCAAATTTTTACTTTAAAAAAAGTTTGTGCTGACAGGCTCCTCAACTAAACTCTAAACCCATTTGCAACCCATAATCTTAGTTTTTTTTAAAGCCT